TCAGCTAGTGAAGTATAAAATATAATTCTACCGTACTCATCTCAGACCTTCATTGGACAGCTTTCAACATATTTTAGTCCAAGTAGTTTATAGCCGACAAAGTCAATGCCAAAATTGAGTTTCAATAAAATTATTCATTTCCCTGCCAAGCTTTTGTTTCGCTTGTTGTCCCAACAACTTAGATTGCTCGGCTGCAAGATGTTGATCTTGGTTTTAATCTTCGATTTTCTCTTTGGAACTGAAGACGTGATAGCTATTTAGCTATGGCTAGTATTTGAGATGGTCAAGTGTTCGTAATGCTGTTTTGGATTCTTTTGCTGGGTTTGAAGGAGGGTCTTTAAATCTAGATGTTTGGAATAATGGATTGTTTAGTTGCTTTCAGATATTTTAGTTATCCTATGTTTCATTGTATTCAGTTGTTTGCTGGTAATTTCCCATGTAAACTCTTGCTCCTTGTTTATACTTTTTCATTTCATCAATGAAAAATTATGTTCCTTAAAAGAAACCGATAAAATTATTCATTTGTTATAGTCAATGTATATCAAAAGTACAAGATGACATTTCAATATTAAGCATCCAACAAAAAGAAAACAGAACAATCTGATTCGTAAGAAAGAATCTTGAACTCTAATTCTTAGCATTTTGACTCAATCATGACTCAACATGTTCAAAGTCTCCAACCGACTGAACACTTAATCTGCATGCCAAAACTAATGGTTAATGGCCAGGGAACCAGAGTCGGAAACCCACACCAGGACAACTGATTGAGGACTCTCTAAAACGTCAGGTCTTTTACTCCCAGCATTCAATCTTTAAAATGGGGCATCCGCATACATTTGCAAATGAACTTTTTGGATGCGTTTCTATTTTCACGAAGTACAAGTAGGTTGGAAGCATTGAAAATAGAAATGCATATTTTGCCTACTTGATTTTCATGAAACTTAGATAGATCTATGCATTCATTCTGAGTACTATATCAACATTAATTTTCTCTAACATTCATGAAGGCTAAATGCACAACAAGAGTTATTGAAACTCACGTCATCTGCCCAATCTGGTCGCTCTATGTGAGGAGGAACAATTCGCTTGCTAGATATGGGATATGGCCTTAGAGTCCTGTAAAATAACAGAGGGAAATCATGCATCCAATGCTTCAAAATAAAATATTTCACATGTTAACTTGGAAGTTTAATTTGTTAATGCCATCTTGAAATCTATAATAATCAACGTTGTACACCAATGGGAAAACAGTCTTAGTGTCTTCTATCATGAAGTTTAGGGAAGGAACCACCCACCAATTTTAATCAAAGGTACAAACAGTATGCAAATCACTCATATCAATCTACAGGAACAGAGTCTTCAGATGAAAGATCAACCAGATGGGTTTCGTCACAAGAATGCCATAAACTATAGAGTTCAGATTTGCTTCAAGCACCACGTGCTGGATGTTAATGGTCTCATAATATACATTTACAGCTAGCCCAAGAGTACTACTCTAGTATTGTGAAATTGGCAACAAGGTAGAAAGATACAATATAGAACGGTACAGCCAGCTTTTTTGGAAACAAACATGGTGCAACAAACTCTTTAACACATTTTACCAATTTTACAACATAAGATCCAAGTGTAAGCTTTTTTTAATTAGCAAATGAATAAACAATCCTGAGAGCAGGACATCCATTGGAAGAGAATGCTATAGAAAAAAAATACTTATCAAATTGAACAATGGGATTAACGTGAGTACCCAACAAGGAAAAGATGAATAGGATGTACAATACAAGAACAATGTAAAAGCCTCAATGTTTACCCTGTCCAATCAAAATGGGGAAGTTTTGGCGATCTTTCTTGCCCTTTCTTCAAGCAATAGAGCCAACCTTCACTTGCTCGATCTGAATTTTGTTCCCCAGAATTACCAGTCCCTATCAGAGACAGTTTTTCTTTTAAATGTACTGATTTGTGAGAGCTCCAAGATGCCTTGAAACAATCCTGAGAGCTGTTGAGATAGGAAATTTCATAAATATAATCATTCATTATGATTCCAATTTTAACAAATATTTTATCCAAATCATCAAAGGGCCATCTAATACAGAAACAATATCATGTAAAGCAAGTGATTATTAGTTTTCCAATATAGATGAATCAATACCCTGCAGTACACTAAATAAACACAAAAAGTCTTGATGCATAAGAAACTGTAATGTTTAAGTTCTGAATGTTATACATTTACATGTGGAGGATCTTATATATGCCCAAATACGCGTCAAATTTCGAATTCACAAGTTCTCAACCTGACAGAACGTGAATGTAAAAACTTCCAGTAATGGTTTCCTCAACTCACATCATATTACATGTTCACAAACAATGTTTTTAAGAAAAACAATGGAATAAAAGGTTAACTTATACGATTGATTTAACTAATATCCAATAAACATCTGGAAGTAATTGGAAATTATTACAGACCAGAAAGCAGCACCCTCCCGAGGAAGCTTCAATTCCATACACTTTGGACACCTAAAAACAAAATAAGTTAATTAGGACAAAAAAATGGAATTCATAAAAAGTACAAATGGTCAGCCCATATCCAAGTTCAACATGGTTCGAACCAATCTTTGGTTGGAAATCCCTTCAAGCCAAAGAGAATGGTGCTATGAAACAATGCAGTTAAATGCCTTTTCATGTGAGTTCAGTGAGAAAGAAACCAATAAAATTTTCAAATTCAGAAGTGAGAGGATGTCTTGGATATAAAGTTCTTACAGCTTCCTTTTAAAGCCATTTGCATTTTTTTAACCATAATTCTTTTTTATTTAAGCCAAGTAGAGAATTAGTAAAAATCTCCTTGGCTTTAAATTGATCTCTCATCATCCATTTATACTTCACTTGATCCAAAACAGAGTCAAAATCAAGCATTCATTAGTTTTCATTTTTTTAAGAAACAATTTTTATTAAAAAAAATAATAATAAAAGTATGAATAATAATAATAAAGGAAAACCAGGAGATCCTCAAAATAACCCAGGAGCTTACATGAAAAAGTGCTCTAATAACCATAATCTAATTTTTAATCACGAGTCTGATGCCTTTTTTGGATCAAAAGAGGTTATGCCTTGCCTCCCCAAGACACATTGCGTCATAAAGTCTCAGGAAGAACAATATCAATTCGTCATATTCTTCAGAAATATAAAAGCTTGCTTACGTATTTAACAACACACCACAAATTGAAATTTTAGCCCAATATTTTACTTTACCCACAAGGCCTAAAGAAATATTGATGACAAATATTAAGAAAATAAATCAACCCTAATCAATACTTAATATACATTTCTATGATTTTTATCAAAGTTCTTTGTATTTTAAATTGAAGCTTGTGCCCTGCTTCTTCAAGTGAACAATCCAGAAAATCGCTTTTAGCCTTTCAAACCACTGATTGGCACAAACGTTGAATAGAGTACAATTACAGAAAAAGATATAAGAGAACACCATCAAAATCACCAATTGCCAATGATTATCATAATCCACCAAAATATCTTGGAAAACAATCCTATAACTTCCCAAGTAAAGTTCTTGATATAAGGCTTTAAAAACACTGCTCATTAGTTTTAAACTAATGAATCATTGCCCTCCAGAAAGAAAAAAGTCACAAAGAGAACTGACACAAAAGCGCTCCAACCACCCATTGGTTCTAAACTTGCAAAGCAAGTACCAAGCTTACAAAAAGATTCAAGTTCGGAATATCATGGCCAGAAGCCCCTACCGATTCAGCATATCGGCAATCAAATTCCACCAAAATCACTAGGAAAAAAACCACTAAACCATTACTTTCAGCTTCTTTCATATCATTCTTAGATTCAGATTTCGTCCGAGAAGCCACAAAAAGAAAAACAACAATAAACTTCTAAAGGCATGAACTATCTTCCAAGTTCCATTGACTTGATTCTCAATTCACAACTCGCACGCCCAAACTGAGCGACTAAAAATCCATCCAATTTCAAAGAAACGCAAAACAACTCCAATTCCATCGACATTCAAGAACCAAAGATAACATGCGAACTAGCACGGCTACTGAAAACTTGAAAAGAAAGTTGAAAACACATACTGAAGATGGGAAGGTTTGCCGCATCGCGCGCAAGTTAACGTAACAGCTTCGGCCGCATCTGAACCGCCGGCCATCGAACCACTAACAGAAACGAATCCTCTTACCTCCTCTTCCGCCGCCGGCTACAGAATATGAATTGCTAACTTCAACTAATACGAATGGAGCGATTGAAATATATAGGAGGTTCCGAAAAAAGAAAGTTCTTCGATTGGTTTCGCCTAACAAAAGTTTAAATATTAGTTATTAATTATTAAACCTCCGCTATCACCAACGAAGCGCCTGTAGCTCAGTGGATAGAGCGTCTGTTTCCTAAGCAGAAAGTCGTAGGTTCGACCCCTACCTGGCGCGTTTTTTATTTACGATTTATTTTTATTTCTCATTTCTTCCTTAATTTATAAATAGTTTTTTTTTTAATCACTTTCTTCATTTACAAATAGTTTTTAATTTCTATTACTTTATTATTTACAAATTTAATTATCATTTCTTTCTTAATTTATAAATAGTTTTCTTATTATGTATTAATTTACAATATTATGTATTAATTTACAAATAAGGAAGAGTTAATTAAGAGAAACCGAAATCGTGTTAAAATTATTAATTATTTTAATTTATTGACATGTCTTGCAATCTTAAGTGGTAGAAATATATACCATTAAATATGAATATTGTTAAGATTAATGTCTTAAATTCTCGTATTTAATAATTTATTATTTGATAAAATATGTTATTATTTTTATTGCAATATTAAATGATCTATGTGTAAGGAAAAGCAAGAAAGTCACATGTTAAAGTCATATTTTGTTAATTAAACTAACTCGAGGGTAAAAAGGTCATTTTGTTGTAATAATTAACTATATTTTTTCTTTGTTTTGCTTAAAATTGTCAAAATTAATTTATATTAATTTTGACTAAACTTTATATATTCTCTCCATTAATACCTTTATGTAAATACATATTCAATCACCGACCTCAAAACTCAAACCCCAGCCTCGAATGGCACGCCGGTGGCCGGAATCCAAGCGTCACCGCGAAGAAACCCAGCTACCGTGAAACGCCGCGCCTCCTCCGCGCTCCGGAGGACATGAAATCCCGGCCAATGAACCCTAAATCTAGTAGAAGAACCACCGCCAGTGTTCTTAAACTCAGCGTAAAACAGAGTGGAAAGTGCAAAATCGCCCCTCCATTCTCCCCACCCTTTCGGGTCAATTAATCCGTCCAAATCCGTCGTCATAATCACCGTCCTTGAAAATCTCTTCCACGGCCGACCGAGGTAGGTCCTGAAATCGCCCTTGACAGCGGCGAGTTCGGGCGCCGCCCTGACTCTGCAGCTGATAATCGAAATTCCGGTGGCCTCGGCTGGATCGTCGCGGCCTTGAGCCGTTATCATGTTGGCCTGGTGGCGTATCGGACGTCGGACGAAGATGTCGCAGTTTTGGAGAACGGCGGCGGCGTTGCCGAAGATGAAATCTATGGTGCCGTAGATTTGGCAGTCGCGGTAGAATTGACGGAGGGAGTGGAGGAACAGGGTGTCCTGATAGCCTTTTATTGTGCACCGGTATACGACGACGCGGTCGGAATTCAGCCGTAGCGCCACCGCCTGTTGCTTTCCCGGTCCGGCGGTGTTCTCGAATGTTATGTCTCTTGCCCAGAATCCGTCACCGGAAACGCCTGCTCATAATTAGTTTTGTATTTTTAAATAATTCAATTTAAAAAAATAAATAATTATAGAAACTGATTTACCGATAAAAACATTGCAAATTACCTAAATTGAAAACTAAATTATTTTTAACCAAATTATAGGAACTCATTTACATTATAAATTAATTAAATTGTTTAATATTATTATGATTTTCTAATTTTGTGGTTTAATTTAAATATAAATATATATATATATATATATATATATATATATGTTGTCGTTTGAGAACTCACCAAATGTAGCTGAGCTGTAAGTGGTGGCGCCGTCCGGGACGTTGCGGTTACCGGTGACGATGGTTTTGTCTGCGCCGTCGCCGACGACCATGACGTTCTTCAACTGCATTCCAATTTCCACATTCTCCTTGTAAACTCCAGCTTTCACATATATCACCACTCTCTCCGACCGCCGTCTACGGCCATCTCTGGCCAGAGCCGCCACCGCGCCGTTTATGGTTGTGTAGGTGCCGGAGCCATCCTTCGCCACCACATAATCCGGCTTCGACGTCGCCGCATTCCATTTCGCCAAGTTGATTCTCCCGTTTTCCCTCAATCTCTCTTTCTCCACTCGTTCCCGTCCTGAATTCAAAAATTCCTTCACATCCAACGTTAACTAAAATTCTTTTATTATTTTTATTATTTTTATTATTTATTTTTTCTATTTTATGATAAATTACACTTTTTCCCCAAAAATTATAAATTAATAAACATATTTCTCAATTTTTTAAAAAATTATAAAATATATTTTTATCCCAACATTTTTCCTTTAAAATATTTGATTAATACTCTACAACCTTAATTAAAAAATAATTAGTATTAAATTTTAAAAATATTTATGAAATTTTAAAAATCGTATTAAAATTAAAATTATTACCTTTAAAAAAATGGTTACTATCAATATATTAACGAATAAAAAAATTTAAAGATATTAATATTTCTTTTTAAATATGATTAAAGGGTATTTTTGAAACTTCACTTATTTTTATTTTTAAAAAAATATTAATGATTTCTATTCATATTATTTTTGTGATAAAAAATAAAGTTCCGACATATTTTTTAATTTATAAAAAATAGATCTATTCATATTATTTTTGTGATAAAAAATAAAGTTCCGACATATTTTTTAATTTATAAAAAATAGAAAAGGTGAGTATAGAGTGAAATTAACGAAAAAAAAAGAGATAAAATAAAAATTATAAAAATTTGTAAAACAAAATATTTTTTAAAAGTCAAAAAGATTAGATATTTTAAACGTTTAAAAAACATAATTTTGTAAAACAAAATATTTTTTAAAAGTCAAAAAGATTAGATATTTTAAACGTTTAAAAAACATAATTTAAGCAATTTAAAACAAAATAATAATAATTAATAGAATCACAAAAAATTCAAAAAATAAATCACTTGTAATATCCAGTAAGCACTTCCGCTCCTCCACGGCGGCAATTTTGTCGTATAAATGCAGAGCTCCGGTGAGCAACATGGTCAAGTTATTCCCATCCGCCGACGGCACAGCGCCGACTTCTTCCAAGCCATCCAAACAACTCCGATGATTAGCCACGGCGGCGCTGAGCCATATCCGAGCATCATCCGCTGAATAATTCTCCCCAACCAACATCCCGGCAAGCCGGCTGTCGGCTTCCTCGTAGAGCGTATGGCAATCGCCAAGTGCGGTCTGCACATTCCCACGTTCAAAGCGACGTCGTTTCACGTTATATATTTCGGATCTGGCTTTCACAATTCCGGTCCGCAACAACCGAACCGCGTCCGGCTCGTCTAACGAAGAAATAGAGGAAGCCATTATGGCTAAGAAGAGAAGAAGAGGTGTTGCAAAGGGAAAGGGCATTTTGGTAATTGTATCTGAGGAGAAACAAGGGAAGTTATTTAATTGTAAATTATTTAATTATATATATATAGGTGGGTGTGGAGAGAGAATGAGGGTGTGAGAAACACATGGAATGTGGTATGGGACACGTGTCATCCGGACGGGAAGATAAATTTAAATCCACCGTTCATGCATATTCATATTGGAGTATATAGATGTTTAGTTTTTTTAAATGTTATAAATATTTAATTATTCCTAAAAAAATTTAATTTTAATGAAATCTTAAATTTTAATTTTTTTTAATAAATTAGGATATTTTAAAAGTTAAATTAATAAAAATACATTTTAAACACATTGAGAAGAAATATTTAATATTTTGTGTAAAACATAATTCCCATATCATTAATACATTTTAATTTTTTAATTAAAAAATATTTTGACGGTTCGTATTATATTTAAAAGATTGTCATAATCTTAAAAACAATATTAACACATTTTGTTCTTATAAAAAAATTATAAAAAAAAATTAAAATTTTCTTACCATTAATATATAGATAAAAACTATTTACGGACAATTCATAAATTATCTACAAATATTTTACGATCTACCAATATTTTATTGTTACGTAACATTCATGAGTATATTTTAAATGTATTTTTAAAAATTTTTAATTTTTTAATTTTGAAAGGTTTTAATGAAAATTTTAAAATGTAAAGGTAATTTTTTAAACATTTTTTAAAAATAAATTATTAACCAGTTTCATCTCAAATTAATTTTTTTTTAATTCAAAGATATTTTTTTAAAAGTATTTTTAAGCATATTTTTATTAATTTTATCTTAATTAAAATATTCTCCGCCTCTTCTTTGACGATTGAGCAACTATGATAATCCTCTTCTTCAACCATACCTAAGTTACTCGAGAGTCAAGATTGTAGTTGACCCATGCAAGCTCCCGCCATTCACAATTGCAAGCTCAAAATGGGAGTGCATTGGATATTATAGTCTCAGGATAAGTGGTCAAGGGCAGATCTCGAGTATAAATGATTCAAGGTTCATACGTGATTATTGGGCACCCAACTCCCGAGTATAAATGGCCAAAAAGTCGACAACGGTTAAGAGATATAGTCATAGCTTTAGCTCGTATGTCTTTAAGCTACTCTTGAGTGTTCTATCAAGCAATAGTTTACGTGAGGTCTTATTGAATTTCTTTATAATTTATAACCATTATGCTATTTATTAATCGTTTCTATTAAAAAATATGATGGGAATTAAAAAATAAATTAATTTGAATTATTTGAGAAAATGAAATATATATATGGTTATAGTTAAATAAAAAAAATGTGGGATAATTCATAAATAAGGGAATTGGTAGGAGGCCCAATGTAATAAATTTTGTAGCCCAATGTATGAAGCGCGTTGGTTTTGATTTTATATTAAAGAAAATTAGAATTATTTAATGCAAAAAAAAGTTATGTAACTGCCAAAATAGACAATATTGACTAGCAGTTGAGTTTGGGTATTACAAATAGTATTAGAGCAGACATCGAGCGATATGTCAGCGAGGCAATACAGAACAGACAAAAACTGACAATATCTCCAAGCGGTGGGGTTGGGTTGGGTTGTTACAAATTGTATCAAAGCCAGACACGAAGCGGAGTGTCAACGAAGACGTTAGACTCTCAAGGAGGGTGAATTGTGAGATTTCACATCGGTTGGAGAGAATAGCGCTTTGTGACAGACCAAATCTACCGCGGGCAAATATTGTCCACTTTGACCCGTTACGTATCGTCGTTAACCTCACGGTTTTAAAACACATATACTAGGGAGATGTTTCCATACCCTTTATAAAAAATGTTTCGTTCCCATCTCCAACCAATGTGGGATCTCACAATGGGTCGAACAATACCTGCTAGTGATGAGTTAGACTCTCCAACTGATGTGGGAACTCACATAATGCGAAAAGTCACATGATTTCAAAAATATTTTTAAGAATGTTAAATCAAACATTAAAATCAAATTAAACACAAGCAAGTAGGTCTCGAAGAGTCACGAAGTTAGATCAAGAAAGAAGGTTAAAAGTCAAGCCATAAAGCTCGTGTCGTCAACACCTCTCATCAATCACAAGTGATTCTCGCATGTGTAAAAACAAGTAAACCGTCTCATTTCTTTCCTCAAAACAATGAATCAAACTTCGATAAAAGTAACGAGAGTAGATTCAGTTAGTTTCCTTTGTCATTCTACAAACCCGACAACTACCACATACTATGCTTGTAAATAAAACAACTAAACTCGTCCTTATTAACGACAGGTTTAAAATCGCTCTCGACGTAACATTTTCAAGTAAAACTCTTCTTATTAAACCCCGTTCGAAAAAAACGTTCAAATACCTATCAGACTAGAATAGTCAAAATTACATTGGACAAAGTACGTTCCATTATATTTGGCATTTAGTTTAGAAACATCTTTCTCAAGCATTATTTCAAAATCTAACAAAGGAATCTGCATTTAGGAAGAAGTCAACAAGACAAAAACAAGTACTTACAAAGTTCTTCGAGAAAAATAATGTAGACAGAGAATTGATTGTCTGCGGCTGCACATAGTTTTTACTGTTGAGCTAACTCTACGAGTAGGCTGTTAAAAAAACGCCACGTGTAGAATTCGAGTCAAAGTCAAACTTTTGGACGGTTTTTGATCCACCAAAGCGTAAAAAACTAACGATTTTTGGCCGTAATGGCGTGTTTGGAACAATCACGACTAAATAAAAAAACTCGATAAGAACAATGACGTGACTTGATTCCCTTTAATCTTTTTTTTTCCATTTCTTGCATAATTTTCTAATAACAAATATATATTTTATTAAATTATAAAATTATCCTTAATAAAAAATAATAATTTAAATTTATAAATTGCCTGATTTTTTTTTTTCAAAAATAAAATTTATAAACTAAACTTATAATAAAAAGAATAGGGTGTTTAAAAATAAATAAAAAATTGCAAATAAAATTGTTCTCCATCAAAATAATTTTTTTTAATTTTTTAATAAGTTATTAATTTACGAGATAAAGTTTAATAATCTATTAAATATTTATGATAAAAAAAGTTTTTTAGAAATATAATTTTATACGTTAAAAAAATTAATAAAAGAAAGAAAATAAAGGTAAGCCGCCACAAAAATAAGAATTTTAATTATACAAAAGGCCAAATCATATAAATGATTAATTGATATTTTCAATATATATATATATATAAATCTCCATAGATATGAATAATAATAACAAGCTATTACTTGATTTGCACGTAAAAATAATTTTATTATTTATAAAAATTATTTGTTGATTTTTTATTATTTTATTTTAATTTGTGTTTATTTTTAGATGTATTGATGTATTTAATAATATATTTATAAAATTGAAAATTTGATGACCCGATTGTCGTGTTTATGTGTCGAGTTAGAGTTTTTTTTAGACAAACAATTTCGAGTATGTTGATTGGTGATCCGAACAACTTGAATAAAGCTCACGAACTTCAAATATTCTTAATTTATTTGAACGTATAGTATGGGTTAGATCGTAACCTATTTCTGGTTAGTCGATTGACTCGACAAAAAATAAATTTTATGATTTGGGTTGGATAATTTGGACTGATCGAGCAACTCTAATTTTCTACTTTGAATAATTATGAGTAATCAAGTGGAACAAGTTAAATATAATTTAATTATTGAACTATTAAAAAAAATTGAGATAAAATAATTAAATGTATTTTTTCCCCTTATTATATTAAAAATAAAAATAATTTACTAAGCTAAAAATAAATAAATAAACTAGTGGAAAATAAAAGAACAAATTATTCGATTATATTTTTGGATATTTATTTTTTAAAATGATAATTATTTTAAAATTTGGCATATTAATTTTTTTTAGTTGCTTGACAGTTGTTACGTAACGACAAGTAGTCGGCGTTGATCAGTACAAAGTCAAAGAGAAGGATGGAAATGCGATAAATTTATTTGTGACGCAACAATAGTAACGACAAGTCGTAAAGTTGGTATTGGAAGACTAAAGATAAGAACGTAATTGTGGACTCAGAGAAAAGAGAACATGGGCCCACACATGGAAAGATATAATTAAAAAACTATTTGATATAATTAATGTTATATATCAAATTTCAATATTTATTGCAAATAGATTGAATTTTCTAAACATATTTTTTTAAAAAGAAAAAATAACATTAATTATATCAAATAGTTTGTTCATGATCGATATTTTTTTTTTATATTTATTAAAATTTCATGGATAAATTTAAAACATGATACTAACCGTAAGGATATTTTTTTAAGTTTTAAAGGTATTTTTGAAACAAAATACGAACAATTTCCATGTATTTTTTAAATTTTTTTTACGATCGAAAGTTTAGTTGTACATGTATATACATACATATCTATACACACATATAAATATATATATACACATATACACATATATATACATAACATACATATATATAAAAGCATATACTTGGGAAATAATTAATCATGTAGAATAAGGTTAATTTTATAAATCAAATAAATTGTAGGTAACCTAAATCAGGCGTCATACGAAAGTGACTAACTAACTATATTTCCAAGTAAATATCATTAATTTAAGAGATATATCTAAATTTATCACTCTGTCAAATATATGAATATTTAAATTTATCTATCTCTTTTAAATTTAATTTTTTCATTTGGTTGAACTTGAAGCCTACTGAGTCAATCGTTTAAAGAATTAATTTGACGTGAAACGTATGATAAAAATTAATTATGTTACAAAGGTTAAGAGAGAGGGACGTGAAAATTCTATAGCGACAGTAACATTCATTCAACACGTTTAAATCCATTATGAGTTAACGTTTATACCTTTTAAAAAATATTTATTTAATCAATTATGCTCAAACCGAGACGATTAAGACAACACTCCCTTTTATAAAAGGCATAAAAATAAAAATATTTCGTTTTCGTAAAACGACACCCATTTATAAATATCAGA